CGTTAAAGACTTTGATGGCGACAGCTCAAACATGAGAGGTTGAGCTTTATTAGCTCCACCTTGCGGAAATTCCGGATACTATTATTTTACTTGCGGTACTATAGGAGAATTTACGGTAACGTGCGGTAGACTGCGTAAAGCGCACCGCAAAATAATGTGGTATCGCCCGCTCATTTTGAATGGCTGCATCTGTATATGCCACAGATAAAAACAGAGCACAGGAGTGTATTACGGTCATTTGTTGAATATTTTTAGTAAACTGTTAGGCAGCAGAGGAGGAGGATGTTAGCAAGAAATATGCTTATATTTCATGATAATGCACCTGTGCCCTGTTCTTGGGTTGCTCAACTTGTCATTCAGGAAAATGGCTTTGACCAGCTGAATTACCTGGCATACTGTACAGACTTGGCCCCAAGTTATCACCATCTGTTCTTAAATCAGAAGACTCACTTGGTGGTGTGAGGTTTGCTGATCAGTTAGTTAAATGCTGAATGTTACATATGACTAGAGGGACACCTACCAAAGGTAAAGTGGGCAAAACAATTAAGGATATATTATATATATTACAATTTGCTTGGGAGTAGAACCATTTTAAAGACTTTGGTCTGTGCACTTACTGACCCAGGTCTGTATCGATGTTTGAAATTATATTTTCTTAGAAATATATTGCATAATTCTGTTGTTTAAAATAGATTACTTTAAATGACGTACAGTGCTGAAGCACTTTGGACAAACCTTTATTTCCATTATTCTACTAATTCAGGTCAAATGCAGCAGAAGGTTTATGATTTTAACATTCCACAACATATTTTACAATATTGTTTTAGACAATTTCCTGAACATAAACGTTGGAAAAAAATGGAACGTACCACCTTGTGCTAGAAGGAATGGGTCATTGAAATGTAAATGCAAAGCCCAGAATAAGTAAGTTTAAAGATGCCAACATATGAAAGATGTATTATTAACGTATTGCCCTGCAATAGTGTTACTCCTAATTTGGTTAATCAGAAATTCAAAAACTCCTTGTGTTTGAATGTGCCCTGCTAAACCATTAACCACACAAATGACTGCTGTCATTTTTGGAGTGTAGCAAGGTGAGAACTAATCAGCTAGCAACCCTGCAAAGCTCCTTCATGAAGGGATCATGAAGGGGGAGGGCAGAATGGTATGCTCTTTCTACAAGAGAATTAATTTGTGGAGGGCAGAGCTGAGGCTGGACTGGCTTTAAGAGCACCCAAAGAATTTCAAAACTAGACCTTTAGACTACTCAGGTTTAATTATGTCTTGTGCAGTGTCGATTGACATGCTTGGATTTAGTAAAATGTTATATAGATATGTAATCAAATGGATTTTAATTTAGTAGGTTCAATTTTCTTTAATTCAATGATATCTGAAATAAATGTCTATTACATTTGTTTTTCATTTAATTGTTAATGTTTAAGTTCTGTACAGTACTGTGTGTCATATGATTACTGCTTAATTGTAGACAGATGCGCAAAGTTTGTTATTGCATTTTAAAGCTATTTCAAGGCACATTTGATTACATTTCTTACAGAAATATAAATGTAGTTAAGGAAAGTTAGATTTGTAAAATGTTCCATTACAATTACAAGTTAATAATAATAATAACAAACTTTATTTTAAATAGCACCTTTAAATGTGGCATCTCAGTGGGGTTTACAGATAACAACAAAAAATGCACAAATATACACAATGAAAAAACACAATGAGAGGAGACAGAACAGAACCAGTTAAATAAAGACCCTTCTTAAGAAGGTTTTGAATTTACTGTAGATTTGAAGGAGTTAAGGAAGGTGACTCTCTGAAATCCTTAGAAATAGAGTTCAGGAGACAGGAGAAGGCCGTGTCACCCCGCCGAGTGTAGACAGGCTTGGGGGACAGATTTAGAAGATTGAAGCTTGCAAGGTATTGAATAGGACAATAGTAGCTAGGACAGGTACTGAGGTGGTAAGCCATGTAGGCGAGCATGAGGATTTCGAAGTCGACACAAAACTTGACAGCAGGCCAAACAAGGACTCCAGGATAGCAGTAATGTGATCACTTGCAGTAGACCTAGTCAGGATTCTGGCTGCCGAATTTTGGACATACTGGAGTTGTTCAGTGTGGATTTAGACACCCCAAAGAGTACAGCGTTACAGTAGTCAATTCGAGAGAAGACAAATGGGTTGATCAGCCATTCAGCAACAGTTAGCAATTAAATAGAACATAGCCTGGTGATATTTCTGAGGTGAAAGAATGATGTTTTTGCAAAATGTTGTACATGTGGATTGAATGTCGAACCTGAATGATATATCAGCCCCAAATTTTTCAGTTTTGACTGAAGCTCAAGTACAGTACCATCCAAAGATAGGGTTACAGCATCGGCTTTAAAAAGTTGAAGGGGGTGCCGATAAGCATTCCAAGCACTCCAAACAGTCCTCTCAAGATGACAAACTAAGATCATCAAGTTACTTATACAAGGATTTTTGTTTTTAAATTATTAAATAGTCAGACAGAAATAATTTTGAAATATTAAGTTACAATGATCTAAAGTATGTAGTGTGTGTCATATTACAGTTTAATAATTTTAAAAAAGGAATCACTTCCACTTATAACTTATATGTAATTGATAATGTTTTTGCTTCACCCAAACTGTTTTTCATACTTAAGTCCAACTTACATTTAAAAATGTAATGTATTACTTTACATACAGTATTAAAGTAACTATACATAATACATAAACCATGGTAATGTCTGACATTTAAAAATTATCTTTGTCCAAAAATGTTTTTAATTTTAAAATCTTTATGCCTTATACAAGTAGCTTGTAACTGTCAGTCATTTTGAGACTTACTTTTCCCAACACTGATAGTATTTTGTTACTGGGGTCTAAGTTCTGGTCAATTAAAAATATTCATTATTTATACCTTACACATTCTTACCTTCTATAATTATACTATAATATCCTGAATACATTTCCTATACAATATGTTTATACAAAAAACAGTGTTTTGGTCAAAAACAATAAATATTATGCACAAGCAGGAAATTAGCTAAAACACAATCTTTATATGTAGATCTATAAGGAACAATGACTTTCTTCATTGTTCCATGCATCTGCATTAGCTGGTATCTGGTGTGAATGGGTGAAATGGATTTAATTTTGAAACATGCTATTAAAGTTGCATGATCACACTTACAGAATTTGTAAGAATTTTTTTTGCTCTTGCCTTTTTAAGGAATTTCATGAATATACCCCATAAAAATGAACATACAGCTTGCTTTTGGACCTCTGCTCAAAAAATGCAGGCCAGATTTCCACAAAAACAATCATATTTATTGCATGGCACAAAGTGCAAGACTTGTTTCTAACTGCACTGTTACTTTACTTCCCTAAAAGTGTTGACGTCAAACCATCAGCAACTCTACAATGGAGGAGGTAGAGGAGGTAAGATTGGCGTCACATTTCATGCAGGGATTGTGAAAATTTGTATCATAGTTCACCATGGGCTGACATGAATGTCATTTTGTTCTTGCAAACAGCTATTGTTTGTGAAGCGTTGGCAGTGTAGCTGTGCTAACGCGTTGGTAAGGAACAAAACATTAAAACCAATTAAAAGAATGAGCAAAACCAAGTCATTGCATGCTGCATACAGTATGTCTTTATAACAGACACTTCACTTTTTTGTGTAAATAAATGTGTTTAGTGGCAAGGAATTGAACCTCCCACCCCAGTACCACCATCTTTTCATTCCAATTCAATTCAGTCTTTGTTTTGTAAACTTAACATCATACCATGTGATATGATTGTGTTCGTCTTTTATTGTTACTGTTGTCTGTAGAATACAGACATTCCTACAGAGGCAGTGTCAAGGAATTTGGGTTTTGAATTAGATTTAGGAAATTGATTAAAGTTGATAAATTGATTGACTTAATTGATTAAAGTCGATAGTTTTCTAATGTACCTGACAAACCAGTTTGCAGTTTTTCTTACAAACCAAAATGTTTCTATGGGGTGCGATCATGCAGCTTTAAGTTATTTTTCAAAATAAAGTTTAAAAATGATAACAACAAAAGTATATTTATTGAGGTATTTACCAAGCTATCAAAGAAATAAGAAACCTTCACTTTTTATAATACAAAAAAAATTATGATTATGAAAAAAATGGTGAACAGGAACACATAATGGGTGGTCATTATTTATAAGGAACATGGTTTCATGAATTTACTGAATTGCTTTTGCCAAAGGCAAGCCACTAGAAACATTTGACAAAACTGATTAATTACTTTTGGATACTGTTTAACTGTAGTGATTTTGTAATGGAAGCCAAAACATAAACATAATGTAGTTATATTTATATGTACAGTAGCTAATCGGTTTAATTACAAGCACCTCAGTTTTGAGCCCGTATCAATACACCTGAAGCAGTTAGGCCCGCTGTAGATGCGGCACACCTTTCAGTGCAGGCTGCTAAGATTTCCTTTTATGTTACACAAAGAAACTTTGTCTTGAGGTTTCCTCTGCACAACTAAAAGAAATTAGGAAAACCTAATGTTAATCATGTCTTTTTTTCATGCAAGTATTATATTATATTAAGTGGTTTTAAATATATGGTGAAGAACCTCTGCCTTCTATGATAGAACCTGGAAAGAAACACATTAAACACTGTTGAAGACTTTGTCCCAGCACTTGTGCCCACCCTTCCCACCCGTGCTTCGTCTTTCTAACCTTCTTGTCTAATGCATGTTTAATTGGTATGGCAATTACAGATTCCTGGCCTTTTTAACAGTTGATTCCTTTGCAGGAAACTGTGAATATGACTTGATTGCTTTCTGTGCGTTTAATGTCTTGTCTGCCGAGCGTGGTGAGATCATATAAAATGAATGCAAGATTATGCTGTTTCACCTTTTCAGTTTCTATAAAACGTTGTTCATTAAGTGCTAAGTGTTGAGAAGGATATTAAAGAAAATGGTCAATTGTTTTTGCCTTTTATGTTCACAATTAACCTAATGTGTAAATTTACATTAGAAGGGCTGTTTTAATAGATGTGGATCCACAAGATATGTATTTATAAAGACGGGCATTTTATTTCTTCCAGCAAAGATGTCACGGAAGTTAAGTCTGCCTACTGAGTTAAAGCCAGACTTGGGTAAGCTCGATTTATTCTTTTTGGTTTTGAACTATTTTTTGTTTTTGTATGTAGTGCTTGCTGACCATTGGGTTACAGATTCATTTAGCTGTATGATTTTTACCACTTATCACTGGAGAATCTTGCAATCAAAAAGAATGAAAGTCATCTCTAGTAGAAATGCTCATGAAGATGATGATGATTCCCAAATGAAGTTGTGAGTTAATGATATGTTCAGCTCTCCATTCCTATTCAATTCAGATGTAGAGGTTTACTTACAAAACATGAGGATAATTACATTCTTCTTGTAAAACCAAGAATACATAAATTATAAACCTAAAAATAATCATTGGAAAACTGGGAGAATTTTTTATTTTAAATGGGTTTTTGAGGACCATGTTTTCTTTTCAGAATGGAGCATGGTCCACAGTTATCAATGTTTATGTGGAATTCATTAATTTAGACTGTAGAATCTGTATTTTATATTTCAGCCATTGCATTGATGTGAATTGTCTTTGCATTCGTTAGCTTAAGACTGGTTTTGTCCAGCTGAACTATTTTGAAGCATTCACATTGGGCTTGTTTTCAACAGCTGAAATTTAGTGTGTTTTATTGAAAGCAAACAATTTTGCTGGTGTTTACTAAGCACTAAAGAAATAAGGTTCATTTGTTTAGAAATCTTTTCCTACTTGTGGTGTTTATTCTCTTTCAAGACCAAGTTTGTTCTCAGTGAAATTTCCAAAGGGTGTATCTCATTAAATGTTCATTACATATTTAGAGTTGCAGATAAAAATGTTATTGTAAAAAACTGAGGGAGAAAAAAACAAGGAGATTGCAGCAGGTTCTTTTTTCCACCTGTTAAAAATTAATTGTATGCAGTGTGGCACTACACGGGGGGCATGTCCAATGTGTCCTGGTTGAAGGGCGACACATTGCCTTTGTAACCACAGCTGTACTGGCTGCTTGAGGACGAGCCACAGCTGTGAAGGCTCTTAAAAGACACTATGAATACCCTCTGAAGGGACGAGCAGGGTAAACCCTGGAAGGGGAGGAACATCCACCAGCAGTCCCAGTTGGTTTGTGCCCAGGCGTAATTTTTCTTTTCTTTTTCTTTTTGCCTGTCCCGCCGTGCATCTCCACTGGGACAGGCTCCCTTTTTCACACGTTGAGTTTTACTTTTGGCCTTGGGCTCCCTGCCTGCTCTCCCAGACTGGGCCCCGTTAGATAGGGTACATC